CCCTCCCGCCCCCCCCCCCCGCTCCCCCAAACGCTGTGGGGCAATAAAGAGTTGAAAAAAAAACCACGTTTATTTGCCCCAAAATGAGCACGGACACGATTGAGAAATCAAATCTGGGGACCATGGGGGTGGAAATAGGACACCCCCAAAGTGACAGACCTGCCTACCGGGGCTAGAGCCCCTCCAGAGGCTCAGAGCCCCCCTGAATCAGGGCTCAGGACCCCCCAAAAAGCTCAGAGCCCCCCTGAATCAGGGCTCAGCACCCCCCAAATCAGGGCTCAGGACCCCCCAAAAGGCTCAGAGCCCCCCTCAATCAGGGCTCAGGACCCCACAGAAGACTCAGGATACTCCAGATAATGGCTCAGCACCCCCACCAAGGACTCAAAGCCCCCCCAAACCCTCAGCCCATCCCCTCCCTGACCTGCTGCACCACCTTGGCCCTCACCGCCCGTCCCTCACGGGAGCCCGGCCCGGGGGGCGGCGGCGGCTGCGGTGGGGGCTCGGGGTGTCCCGGGGCGGGCGGGAGCCCCTCGGGGGGCTCGAGGGGGACGCGGCGGCGCAGGGCGATGTTGTGCAGGATGCAGCAGGCCAGGAAGATCTGGCAGACCTTGGGGGGGCTGTACTGAAGCCCCCCGCCCGCCAGGCAGCGGAAACGGCGGCGCAGCAGCCCCAGGGTGCGGCGCAGGGGGTCGAGGGTCCGGGCGTGGAGAGCGTTGTAGCGCAGCTCGGCCGCGCCTCGGGGGCCCGAGATGGGCGTCAGCAGCCACGGCTTCAGCGGGTACGTGCGGTCACCTGCGGGGAAAAGGGTTTGGGGGGGGTCAGGGGAGACACCTGAACCAGGCCCAGCGCACCCCCAGAGCCACAGGTGAACCCCCAGCCTTCAGCAGGTACGTGCGGCTCCTGGTGTGGGGGTGGGATTGGGGCGTAGGGAGACCCTCATATACCTGAGACCCCCAGGGACCCACCGCCCTGAGCACCGGGACCCCCTCACCCAGCAGCCAGATCCCCTCTGCCCTCCATGAACCACACCAGGGCCAAATTCCCAGTGACCATCCCCAATCTGAGACCCCCCCCCCAAACCACCCAGGACCCCCCAAACCCCCCTCACCCAGCAGCCAGACCCCCTCCGGCCTGCTCCCCTCCATGAGTCGCGCCAGGGCCGAGTTCTCCAGGACGGTGGCGTTGGGACACGAGCCGGGGAACTTGGCCACCACGTTGGTGATGGCGCCGTGGCGGTCGCACACCACCTGCATGTTGATGGAGTGGAAGTTGGCGGCGTTGCGGAACAGCGGCTCGTTGTCGGCCGGAGCCCTCAGCGCCACATGCATGGCGCCCACCAAACCCAGCACCCCGGGCAGCGCCGGGGGGTCCCCGGGGGGCGCGGGCGGCGGGGGGAAGGCGATGTAACGGGGAGCTCGCCGCTGCAGCGCCGCCAAAAACTGCGCCAAGCAGTTGGACATGGCCGACTGGCTGATGCCCGTGCTGAGGCGCGAAGCCGTCTGGAAGGAACCCGAGGCCAGGAAGGCCAAAGCCGAGGTGACCTTGACGGCCACGGGCAGAGCGTGGCTGCGGCCGGTGAGGCTCTGCAGGTCGGCGCCGAGCTCCCGGCACAGCGCCGCGATGGCCGCCCGGTCCAGGCGGCAGCGCCGCAGCGCCTGCTCCTCGCTCAGCTCCAGGAAGGAGCAGCGCACCCGGTAAATGCGCTGGGCAGGGTACGGGCGGCGGCGGCGGCGGCCCCGGCGGGGGCTCGGGGATGGGCATGGGGTGGAGGGACCACCCGAGGGCACCGGGAGGGAGATCCTGGATGGGGGCAGGGGGTGTGTGATGTGGTGCTGGTCCTGAGCCCAGCCCTGCTGCCGGTCCCGGGGCTGATCTCGGCCCAAATAACGGTCCTGATGCCGCTCCCGGTGCCAGTCACGGTCCTGGTCCTGATCCCGGTGCTGATCTCGGTCCCAGTCATGGTCCTGATCCCGCTCCCGGTGCCAGTCATGGTCCTGGTCCTGATCCCGGTCCCAGTCCTGTTCCTCGTCGCTGTCCCGGTTCCGGTGCCGGTGCCGCTCCCGGAGCCGCCGCAGCAGCAGCACCGGGTGGGACATGGCGGGGCGGGGCCACGGGGAGGGGGCGTGACCAACAACACCGGGGCGTGGTTAACGCGGGAGGGGCGGGGCCAGACCCGGCCGGTCCCGGCCGCAGCCGCGTCCCGGTGGCCGCGACACCTCGGCGAGACGGCTCGGTCGCTGTTCCTGTCTGGGTCGATGCGGCTGGCGGCGGCCGACCCCCGTCCCGGTCCCGGTGCCGGCCGATGCCGATGGGAGCTGTTGGTCCCGGTCTGTCTTAGTCCGTCCCGGTACCGGTGAGGGCAGTTGGTCCCTGTACCTGTGTCGCTGCCGGTCGATCGCGGTGCCGGTAGGGGCAGTCTGACCCTGTCCCGGTGCCTGTCCGTGTTTCTGTCGGTCCCGGCCCCCTCGCTCGGACCCTCACGGCTCCGCGGCGCCGCCAGGCCACGCCCCTTTGCCGTGCTATGATTGGCCAGCCTTGCCCGGGAGGCCACGCCTCCTGCCTCACATCCGGCGCGCCACCGCACCTCATTGGCCGCCGCGAGGGCGGGAACGTTTTGTACCTGACGCTGTCCGGGCCCGACGCTGGGCGGGGCTTCGCTGCTTCTCGACCAATCGCTTCGCGCGGCTTCTCAGTTTTCGACCAATCAGTGCGCGCGATGGGCGTGGCTCCGCGTGAGGCGGCTACCGCCATTTTGTTGCCGTCATCGAGTGCCGGGCCGAGGGGGGGGCGCGGTGAGGCTTGGGGGGCCCCGGGGGGGACACGGATGGGATCGGGAGGGGCTGGGAAGGAGCGGGGAGGGAGCTGGGGCCGCGCTGGGGCCCTGCTGTATGTGGGGGCGGACGGGACGGGGTCCTGCGGCCTCGGGAAGGGCCCTAGGAGAGGGCTCAGACCCGAGATCAGAGCGGGGTGAGGTCTGGGGGACACCTGGGTCCCCCTCCATGACCTGGGGGCTCACGGAGCACAACCAGGACTGAGAGTCCGCTCGGGACTTGCCGGGGCCTGAAGGTCTCCCGGTTCATTGTGAGAAGCCGGGTCAGGGATCTGTCCTGAGGGGGTCTCCGCTTCAGGGTCCCCTGAGGGCCCCCCCACAACTGGGGGTATGGGGGGGACCCATCGGGAATCAGCTGGAGGAGGATCTATGGAAGGTGGGGGGAACCTTTCCCATCCCTTTCCCCATCCCCAGAGCATCTCCGAACCCTCAGCGGGGCTGGGGGTGGTGTGGGGAGGGTCTCACCGAGCCCCCCCTTCCTTCCCACCCCTCAGGCGCGTCGCGATGGTGAAGCTGTTCATCGGGAACCTGCCGCGGGAGGCGACGGAGCAGGAGATCCGCTCCCTGTTCGAGCAGTACGGGAAGGTGCTGGAGTGCGACATCATCAAGAACTACGGCTTCGTGCACATCGAGGACAAGACGGCGGCCGAGGACGCCATCCGCAACCTGCACCACCACAAGCTGCACGGCGTCTGCATCAACGTGGAGGCCAGCAAGAACAAGAGCAAGGCCTCCACCAAGCTGCACGTGGGCAACATCAGCCCCGCCTGCACCAACCTGGAGCTGCGCGCCAAGTTCGAGGAGTACGGCCCCGTCATCGAGTGCGACATCGTCAAGGACTACGCCTTCGTGCACATGGAGCGGGCCGAGGACGCCGTGGAGGCCATCCGGGGGCTGGACAACACCGAGTTCCAAGGTGAGGCGCGGGCTCAGGGGGCACCAGGTTGGGAGGGGGCACGGGGAGCTTCTGATCCAGGAGAATTTCGGCCAATTTTGGTGTTACTGGCCCCACTCTCCGGTTGGTGCTGCGTTCAGGGCCTCTTCTCATCCCAGAGTGCCAGAATTTTGTTCTGGGGTTGGTGCCAAGTGCTGTCCCCATGCCGTCATCCAGTGTCAGGGCTGGGGGCACTGGGGCAGCTCCATGTGGGGGCAGAGCGGCTCCGCAGCGCGGGTTTATAGGAATTCCAGAGGATTTGTCCCAACCTGGTTGGTTCAGGGTGAGTTCCCTCCCCTGGGGACACCTCATGGGACCGGTGCTGTCCCTGTGCTGCTGGAATTTGGGGACAAACAGGGCTGGGAGCGAGCGCTGTGTCCCATTGGCTCCCAATGTCCCCAAATCCTGCCTGGAACCATGGGGACCCCCCTTATCTATGGGGGGCTGGTGCCCACCCCAGTGGCTCCTGTCACCCCTCACCCTCAGCGGTGCCAGGGGTGGCTTTCAGGGGTCCCATAGTGACATGGGTGGCTTTCAGGGGTCCTCTGGGCCGCTGCCACCTCTTGGGGGTCCCAAGGTGCTGGTGGGGTCTCTCAGGGTCCCCGCGCTGCGTTGCTGGTGCCATTTCTGGGGGGTCCCATGGACCACCAGCTCTTACCCAGGCTTGCCACCACATTCTCAGATGTCCTGATCTTTGGCATAATTTAATCTTGGTGCAATAATTAAATAACTAAATAAAATACCAGCTGGAGTCTGTGCCTTGACAGGGACCCCAGACAAAGGAGGCCCTGGGTTTTGTCTCCTCCGTGTGTGCACAGGAAGCTCTGGGGTTGTCACCGGCCGTGTCCCCGAGTGTCCCTCACCCAGCCGGGTCCCCAGGCCTTTTGCTGTGCCTCAGTTCCTGGTCTCTTCCCAGGGAACAGCCCACGGGGCCAGAGGTGACTCTTGGTGGTCTCACGGTGCCGGGGTTGGCTCTCGGGGGTCCCCAGGGGGTGGTGCCAGTGCCAGGGACAGTTCTGGTGCCGTGGTGGCACCGGCTCTGGGGAACCCCACAGTGCTGGGGTGATTCCGAGGATCCCCAGTGGTGCCAGGGTGACACCGGGGGCTCCCACGACAGGCTGTCAGTGCCAGGGATGGTCCTTGGGAACCCCGCAGTGCGGTGCCAGCCCTGTGTGACCCCACAGTGCCAGAGCAGGCTGTGGCTCTGGGGGTCTCTGCGGCCTGGTGCCAATGTTGAGGGCAGCTCTGGGGGACCCCACGAGCCCTGTGCCAGTGCCAGCTCAAATGTGGGGATCCCATGGCCTGATGTGACATCGAGGTGGCCCTGGGACATCCCACAGCCTGGCGTGACATCGGGGTGGCCCCGGGGGATCCCACAGCCCGATGCCCGAGGCTCTGGGGCGGGCTGGGCGCGGTGCCGGGGGGTGACGCCGGGTCTCCCTCTCCCCAAGGCAAGCGGATGCGCGTGCAGCTGTCCACCAGCCGGCTGCGGACGGCGCCCGGGATGGGAGACAAGAGCGGCTGCTACCGCTGCGGGAAGGAGGGGCACTGGTCTAAGGAGTGCCCGGTCGATCGCCCGGGGCAAGTGGCGGACTTTGCCGAGGCCTATAACGAGCAGTACGGAGCCGTGCGCACTCCCTACACCGCGGGCTATGGGGAGACCGTGTATTACGATGAGGCCTACGGCGGGATGGCCGACTACTACAAGCGCTACCGCGTCCGCTCCTACGCCACGGCCTCGGCGTACGACGCCTACGCGGAGCAGACCATGGCCCAGTACTCCCAGTACGCCCAGTACTCCCAGGTCCAGTCCTCGGCCATGGCCGCCACCACGGCCATGGCCGGCCGCATCCCCACCACCTTAGACGCGTACGACCGAGCGCTGCTGCCCACCCCGGGCGCGGCCGCCGCCGCCGTCGCCGCCGCCGCCGCCACCGCCGCGGCCGCCGCCGCGTCCTCCACGTATTACACCCGGGACAGGAGCCCCCTGCGCCGCACGGCCGCCGCGGCCAGCACCGTCGGAGAGGCGTACACGTACGAGCGTGGGCAGCTGTCGCCCGTCTCCTCGGTGGCCCGGGCGTCCCTCTACGACATGCAGCGCTTCGAGCGGGATCCCTACGGGGAGCGGGCGCGGTACTCCGCCTTTTGAGGTGAGCGTCGGGAGCGCCGGGAGCTCTGCCCGGGCCTCTCCGCGCCGCCGCGGCCGGTAACGGCCTTTTCCCCCCCCAGGATCGCCGCGGAACCCCCGGGACTCGCCGCCGTTGCCGTGGCTCCGCAGCCCCCGGACGCCGCCGCCGCGTCAGGTCAGACGTGCCCCGGGTCGCCGCCGCCGCCGCCGCGTCCCCTCCCCGTCACCGGGACCCCCCGTCCCCGCCGGAGCCGCCGGAGCCGCCGCGTCCCAGCGCCCGCGTATCCCCGTGGCCGGGTGTCCCCGAGTGTCCCCGTGTGTCCCCGTGTCCCCCACCTCCCCTCACCTCTCTGCTCTCTTCCAGGTGCGGCGGCCTCGGATGGAGCCGTGTCCCCCCTGCCTGAGCCCCCCCTTTTTGTACGGAGCTTCCCCAGAGTCCCCCCCGCCCCCCTGCCCGGGCGGGGCCATCCCCGACCTCACCCGCCCCTTTTCCAGCAAAATAAAAACTTTTCACCCAATTTCCGTCACCGAATTTCTGTCACCCAATTTCCGTCACCGAATTTCCGTGCCGGAGACCGACCTGCGCCGGGAGGCGGGGTCTCCCGTGGGCGGGGCCAGCTCTGGCCAATCAGAACCCAGAGCCGGCGGGGTGGTTTAAAATCCCGCGCGAAATATGCAAATCAGCCCTGAGCGAGAGGGGGCGGAGCGAATGCAAATTAGAGGCGGGAGCGGCCAATCAGGTTTCCGGGAGGGAAGGGCGGGGTTATGCAAATTTACCCCGCAAGGGGGACCCGGCCTCATTTTAGTCGCGGACCGTGGGACTTATTTTGGCTCCCGGAACTTATTTCATTCATCCGCGTCACTATTTCTGCCCGGACTTTTGGTGCTTTTGTGACGTCACTTCCGTCGCGACGCCGTCTCCGGAGCGACCATGGCGCTGAACGGGAGTGAGGCACCGGCGGGACCCCCCCCCGCGACCCCCCGAGCGCGGATCCCCACCGGGACCCCCCGCTCACCAACGGGAGTCACCCCGGAACCCCCACCCGCGGCCGGGACCGCCCCTGAGCCCTGAGGATCCTTCCCGGGACCCCCCGCCCACCACCGGGACATTCCCGGGATCCCCCCCCCCCGACACCGGGCTCGCCCCGTAACCCCCCCGGGCCCCTCCGGGTCACACCCAGACCCCCTTAACCCGCCCTCCCCTCGTTTTGGGACCCCCCTCGGTGACCGATCGCCCCTCCCGGGACCCCCCCCGGTAACCGAGGCCTCCCCGGTTGCCTCCCGCAGGCGCGGACGAGGCCGAGGCCCGGCGGG